GACAAATGTGGAGATCAAAACTTGTGATGAACCAAAGTTGGTACATTAGGACTTAAGCTCAAAAGCTGCATATCTGACATATGTGAGTGGAGGACTACAAAAATGATTCTGATTTTTACCATATATATATATATATATATATATATATATATATATATATATATATATATATATATATATATATATATGTGTGTGTGTGCATTTTTCTTAGGAACACCAAGCTAATCAAAACTAGTTGATTATTGCAGCAATTTTATGACCCTTTAGCTTTTTTACATTTTATCCCATTACAATCACTAACTTTAATGCTCATTCAGTTTTTAGATGATAAACCAACACAAAATAGTAAGTAATTGTGTGTCAGAAGAGGACTGTTATTTGTTTTCCAAATTTCGAGCTGCAAAGTGTGTCTTACATTTATTTCCAGAACCCTGCTGAGGATGTAGAGCTGATCAGCTGAGCAGTGCTGCAGAGTGCAAAAGCTTAGTTTATTCCAGAACTAAGCTTTTGCACGTCACAGTTTGATGATTTTGTTGATGGTGTTGCTAGTTTTCGGCACATTGCCTTAGACAACACAGCCCCTTTGAAAAAGAAAAATGTTAAAAATGGAAACCTTGCTCCTTGGTTTAATCCAGAGCTGCACACTTTGAAGCAAAATGCTAGGAAACTGGAGAGAAACTCGTGCTCCACAGGCCTACGGGAATCCTGCTTAGTCTGGAAAAATTGTTAACCGCTGTATAAGAGGACCCTTTGTAAAGCAAGAGTGGCATATTTCTCCTCATTGATAGAGGAGAATAAGAATAATCCTAGATTTCTTTTTAATACAGTTGCCAAACTCACCCAGAGCCATAGCTCTGTTGAACCATCCATCCCACCTGCTCTAAGCAGTAATGATTTTATGGGATTCTTTATGAATAAGATCATTATTACTCCTTTAACAATGATTGGCTTTTTGAAGAGTTTCAGTCTGGCTATAGAGCTCATCATAGCACTGAAACAGCTCTGGTGAAAGTCACTAATGATATTCTCATGGCCTCAGATAATGGACTCGTATCTGTACTTGTCCTGTTAGATCTCAGTGCTGCATTTGATACAGCTGATCATAATATTCTTTTAGAAAGACTTGAATATTTTGTTGGAATTAAATGAACAGCTCTAGACTGGTTTAAATCTTATCTATCTGATCGATTTCAGTTTGTTCACGTTAATGACAGATCTTCCACATGCTCAAGGGTTACCTGTGGAGTACCACAGGGATCAGTGCTAGGACCAATTCTCTTTACTACATATGTGCTCCAAATTTGTAGAATTATTAGACAGCATGGGATTATTTTCCACATTTATGCTGATGATACTCAGCTATATCTGTATATAAATCCAGATTTATAGATTACAGGCATGTCTAGAAGAAAATAAAAACCTGGATGACTCTTAACTTTCTGCTCCTGAATGCAGACAAAACAGAAGTTATAGTCTTTGGACCAGAGTCTCTGAAAAAGAAGCTGATTAGCCAGTCACTTCATTTGGATGGGATTAAACTGATTTCAGATAATAAAGTTAAAAATCTTGGTGTTATTTTTGACAAAGATCTGTCATTTAAATCCCATATTAAAGAGGTTTCTTGAATTTTCTTTCATCTATTGCAAAAATTAGAAATATCATGTCCAGGGTTGATGCTGAGAAACTAGTCCAAGCATTTGTTGCTTAAAGGCTGGACTATTGTAATTCTTTACTATCAGGAAGTCCATAAACTGTAGTTAAAATCCAAGATCCAAAATGCTGCAGCCAGATTTCTGATCAAAATGAAAAAGAGAGATCATATCTCTCCTATCATGGCTTATCTTCATTGGCTTCCTGTTAAATCAAAAATAGAATTTAAAATCCTCTTTCTCACATATAGTCTTAAATGCCCAAGCTGCATATCAGAGATCTGATTGTTCCTTATGTCCCTAACAGAGCACTTCACGCTCAATCTGCAGGTTTACTAGTGGTTCCTAGAACTTGTAAAAGTAAAATGGGAGGCCAATCTTTTAGTTATCAGGCTCCTCTCCTGTGGAACCAACTACCAGTTTTAGTTCAGAAGGTAGACACCCTGTATACGTTTAAGGGTAAGGCTTAAAACTTTCCTTTTGTCAGGATCCGGGACTTTGCCCACCAGAGGGCGCAGTGGATCCAAGCCTAGGGAGTTTGGACTCAGCTTGATCAGCTGTTTGTTGTTCTGCTGATTAGGAAGCTCCCTATATAAGCTACATGTGATTTTCTCTCTGTGCTGGATCGTTTGTTTTACCTGTGCCATCATGCCTGTCTGAGCCTTGATCCTGTAAGATTCCTCCGTGTTCCAATAAATGTTGGACTTTTATTCCTCTCTCTGTGTCTATGAGTCTGCATATGGGCTAGAGAAACCAACGCATCATGACACCTTTAGGATAAAGCTTATAGTTAGAGTGGCTCAGGTTATCCTGAACTATCTCTATAGTTCTGCTTCTATAGGCTTAGACTGCTGGAGGACATAGGGACCCCCATTTCATCATTCTGCTTCATTCTATCTATATTCTCCAAATCGGCAGAATCTTTTAGTTCAGTCTCTAATGTTATGCTCTCTCTGCTTTTTCCCATTGTAGCTTCGCCTCATCTCTTCCTTTTGGGCCGTGACACCATCCTGTAGAGAAATATCAGCTGTGCTGCTTCTATCAGCATGGATGTTGGGGATCGGCCTGTTTTTCAGTGTCGTCCTCTTTCTCTGACTGTGACTGGCTCGATGTGCTCTCTTCATCCTCTGACATGGGAGCTGGCTCGTAGCTTGACTGCCTGGCAGTGTGTTTCCTGGGCGGGGCCGCCTTTTACAGTTCCTTTCTGTATCTCTGCTTCTGTCTCCTTGAACCGCAGTCTGCCTCGGCAGATGGCCGCTCAAACTGAGCCTAGGTCTGCTGAATTTTTCTTCCTGCTTCTTCTCGCTACAAGCATGCTTAGTGTGAGGGGTTGCCTTCGAGTCAATTAGTTGATGCAATGAACTGATTTTCCTTAGAAAACTTTGAATCAATTTGACCGGAGGATTTGGTGAACTGTAAAGTGCCTTGAGATGATATGTGTTGTCATATAAATAAACTGAATGCACTGAACTGAATTGACGATGACAGAGCATTCTAGAGCTCAGGCAGGAGCACCATGAAAAATGGAGCAATAAAGCCAGCAGAGAGAGACAATAAGCGGATATCATGGGGCACCATCTGCTGGACACAACACAAAATCACAGACTGAATGAAAAACAGCAATTGAATGTATGTTAGTGAGATTTTGGTGTTCTAGTTTGAATCTTTGTAGGAATATTACACAATCTTTTCCAACTTGGCCCAAATCTAAAATGGAGGCACTATAACTTGTTTTTTTAGCATAAATCGCAAAGCTTCTCTATTGTTTAAGTTTACTTTGATTGCACATTGTGTTATTATGTTTCTTACTCTTATTTATAAAATAATTATAAAAAATTCAAAGTAGACATTTCCATGCAATGACACTGATACTTTTGAGTTTTGCTTTTGATTCCACAGCTTTATGCTGTAAGGTTATCCGCAGTATTTTGATTTTGCACTCCACCCCCATGACTTCTGCAAAACATTTGTTATTGTAGTAATTTAAGGATGCTTATCTTTCAAGCTCACATTTATTCTTTAGAGTGTTGCCTTTCAAAGTTGTTGTCTTAACCTTGATATTTAAGTTTTGCTTTGATTGCACATTTTTATTTTGATTTTGCGCTTCCACTCGACATCCTCAGGTCATTTTGATTTGTTTTGTTATATATATATTCTCAGGCTACTCATCTTTCAAGTTAACATTCTCTCTTCTTGGCTGCTTTTCAAAGTTGTCTTCTGAATCTTTTTATTTTGCAACCATCATATTTGCACACAATTTTAATTCTATCCCTCAAACTTATATTTGTCCTTCTGGATTTTGCCTTTAAAAAGTTTTGTCTGAATATTATAAATAAAAAATGAATAATTATTGAATAACTGTGGAGTTCCTTTTTGGGAAGTAAAACCTCAGCGGGGTGGTGTTGATGGGGAGGGAAGCTGCATTCTCGCCCTGGGGATGAATACGGTTAACTTTCACTGGGCTGTAATTATTTGAATCGGTTGTAAAACATGCAGGGCAGTGTGCTTTAAGGACTAAATTTACAAAAAAAAAACATATGTGTCTTTGTTTAAGAAACAATTAAAATAGAAACCTCTTTTCATAAATATTGACTGGTTTTCATTAATTTGGAAACACACCGTGATGCCATATGCAGCTAATCTCTGTTTAATCTTCCTAATTTTTAAGTGTGGAGAATCTCCTCTGAAAGGTAAGAAATATATTTATGCTTTTTAATGCAGTAACTGTCATGCCAATGACAATTAATAAAATCAAAAAACTTTATTATCAAAAAAATAAATATGATTCCCTGAGGTGTGAATTTCCATCAAAAGCTTTGTTAAGTATTAAGATAGCTGTACTTGATTTAAAATAAAGCTGGCATAGTGCCAAGAATGCTAGTCAGCTTTAATTGTGGAGTGTAGATTAAAATGTAACAGAAGTACATTTCAAAAAACGCTCTAACATTTATTTTATTGCAGCTACTTTTTACATAGGAATATCAGGGCAGTTTTAGCTCTACTAGCTTTGTTGTTCTGTCGATATTATCTATCTGTTGAATTTACCTCATACAAGAAAAAAAGGAGAAGAAGACTACAGCAAACCTGAATCTACTTCTCTTTTCACATTTTGCAAAAAAAATATAGAACAGGAATGTTCTGTTTGTAACATGACGATCTATGTGAAGTGCAAAGAGTGTGAATACAAAAATAAAACAAAAATGTCTTGGTTACACTGAATAAATAACATTAAGCAGAAAAAATGTTCAGGGAAGTGGTTTGTTACTGCAGAGTATTGTACAGTGAATTCAAATTGCACAGTTTTTGGTGCCGCATGAATTGGTTTAAAGAATTCTAAAACCGGGCTGCACAATGGGGCAGTTTGTGGAGCTGTTGTCTTGCAGCAAGAAGGTTCTGGGTTCAATTCCTGGTCCAAGGTCTTTCTGCATGGAGTTTGCATATTTACTTATAAGTGCTGTATAAGTTACACCAAGCTTGGCGGTTTCTCAAATGTTGTGAAAATCCTCTCAGAGAACACAGAGAGGAAATGAAAATGGTACATTACATAGAGTAAACCAGATATACTTTCATTGTTTCCTGCAGGTGTAGCAGCTGTGATCCAAACCCAGCTGAATGTCTTAGCAGCAGTGGGTGAAGATCCTCCTCTGAGCTGTCAGCTCCTGGAAACTAAAGATGTCCAGCAGGTCACCTGGCAGAAGGTCTTTGGGAGGAAAGAGAGGAATATCTGCTCCTACAGCGAGTATTTTGGTCAAACAGTGAATCCTGACTTTAAAGATAAAGTCCAGTTTATAGAAGCTGGACTGCAGAATTCCTCCATAGTTATTAGGAAGGTTACAGAGAAGGATGAAGGATGTTATCTCTGTTTGTTCAACATCTACCCTGATGGAGCTCTGGTAGGGAGAACCTGCCTGAAGGTTTATGGTAAGAACCAGACTGTATTCCAGGGTTAACTTCTATAACTACTGTAGATGTTGATCATGATGTATGTTCTCCTCTCAGAGCTGCATGAACCCATCCTTGATGTCAGCAGATCAAATGTTTCTGCAGAGTCAGTTGTGTCCTGTTCAGCCACAGGTCGACCTGCTCCCACTGTAACACTGACTGTTCTACAGCAGAACCTCAGCTTCTCCCACTACAACAGCAGCAGTGTGACCCACAGCAACGGTACAGTCACCGTCACCACCACAGCTCTGCTGTCAGCTTCCAGCAGCACACAGGTTGGATGTTCAGTGTCAGTGCTCTCTGCTGCTCCCAGAGAGAAACTGATCACCGTTCCTGGAGCTACGGGAACATCTGGAGATGGTGAGAAGACTCTCTGCATTTCTTTACATTTTCTCACCTTATAATCATAAAGGTTTTTGGTGAACCACCTCAAACTAGTTCACAGTTGTGGAAGGAAAGTCAGACAAAAGATATGCAGAAAAAATATTGCTGAAAGAAATTCTGAACATGCTGGGTCTTTAGTCTACAGGCCATCTCCTCTTTATATGACAGTGCAGGAACACAGTGAAAAATACTAGATAATCCTGTGAGGTTTTAGCTGCTACTATAGACTGAGGTCACAGTTCATAGAGGCTAATTGGTTAATCCTTTATAAGGCACTCAGTTAATTACATAAAAAAAAAGCCAAGAGTGTTATTGTAGTCCAGGACAAGACCTTATTACTTTAGCAACATTCAAAAAATATGTGTATAGTCTGATCGCAAAAATGTCACATGTCAATGTAATAACAAGAAACAGCCACTTGCCCTCATGTATAAAGAAAAATGACAAAAGGACTCCATTTCTTAGGGGTATGGAAGTGACAAAAGAAATTGTAACTTGCCCTATAAAGGATTGGAATTTTTGGAATGGCCTAGTCAAAGTACAAAGAAAAATTGCACTCATAACCATGAAATGAATTAAAACCAAATGTTTAGATGATTTGAATTCATACATAGGCCATCTTTAGATTTTTATTTGTGAAAAAAGAAATCTTGCACTTTACATTAATGGTTTGATATATAAAATCACGAAAAAATTATGATAAAGGTTTCGATCAGTTTTTCAAAATGTGAAAAAAACAATGACAGTGCTGAGACTGTTGAGTTCTGTTGGCTCATTATTTGACAGGTTTGGAAGAAGACTCTGGACCTGATTATATGGATATAGTTAAGTTAATGTTCAGGCATGTAGCTTTTTATTTATTTAGTCATATTTTTAACTCCAGTTGCTCTGTTTCCAAAGGATTGAGTGTAGCTACTGGAGTGTTGTTCTTTGGACTTCTAATGGGTTTATGTATCGTTTTCTGGCAAAGAATGCATCAGAACAGGTATTGCTATTGGAAATATTCCCTGTTTTTTTTTTTTTTAAGTAATTAATTTGTCCCTGTTCTATTCTTAAAATCATGCATGTGTCACACAGGAAACTTCCAATGGACGAAAACCCTGAAAAACAAACCAGCAACATTCAGTGAGTCTCTTGTTTGGTGATTTATCTATCACATTGTTTTTTTTTTTTTTTATCATTACATTTTAATGACAATATAATAATTTTAGTGTGTGTATATAAGCACTATTTAAAAATATTTGCCAACTTCCCAATTAACAACTTAAAACATTACATTTTCTCTTAAATATATTTGGTTCATTTAAAAACAAATGTCTCTAGTCTAAAGGATCGTTTTCTTTTTAATTAAGGGCCAAGGAACAGCTTCCACAACAAAGGAGCACTGAGGAGCAGGAGCAGACATGCGTCCTAATTAACAGACAAAGCAGTAAATCACCAGTATCACCAACACCCCCTGACATAGACGGCTGTCTGCAAGGCAAGAAATCTTTGTAACACAAACTGGGCTTGTATGTCTCTACAATGTGATATATCTTCACTTATGTTCATATTTTAAAAAAATAAAAATTGAGAAAGGAACTCTTTTGTCTTCATTTGTTTTGTGTTTGTCTATATCTGTATAGATCTATAGTGTTCTGTCTGTATAATATATGTCTGCATGATTCTACTTTTACTGATTTCAAAAGTAAAATACTGATAGTAAACTGGCTGCTGAGTCACCACAATAATATTTCATTTTTCTTAAACTCCTGCTTTATGAGGCTAAGAAAAAGATTACATTAAATGAATTATGTAATATTAAGATTTTATATTAGTTTTGTTTTAGCTGGTCTTAAGATAAGGAATTTATTGATTTTTGTTTCTCAAGAGTGCTTGGTTTGTTGACGGTCCCTAACTGCACCACCGCGTGTGGGAGGAGGGAGCAGCTGAGAGATGCTGGCAGACATCGGAGTCCCTCATCTGGATCAACTGTTTGGTAGATCCAGATGCTTGAATGTCCGATATCCAACTTCAAACGAACTTCACTGCGGTCATTAGCGACCGGGTTAAGAAGATGGGCCACTTCGTCCAGATTCTGAAAAACTACATTGTCGACATCTGTGTCCATGTGTGCCTCTGACTGAAACACACACGGTCTGACAGAGCATCCAAATGAAAAATAATAAAGTCAATACTTATAACATTAGCATTGTTTTCAAAAACAGTTGCTAATTTCCTCTGCTAACTCAGACAGCTTCATCGTTATGTTTGTTGTGACTGTGGCAGGTGGCTGCTAACCAACCAATGGGCAGAAGATGACCCTTTAAGACACACCCCTCCTCGTTTGCATAATGAGGCAGAAATGCATACAGAAATGTAAATACGACAGGCAGAAAAAAATAGGTAAATGGCCTGTACTTATATGGCTCTTTTTGAAGTCAGGAGATTTGACCAAAGCGCTTTAAACTACATTCAGTCATTCACCCATTCACGCACACACTGATGGTGGCAAGCTACATTGTAGCCACAGCTGCCCTGGGGCTCACTGACAGAAGCGAGGCTGTCGTACACTGCCGTACACCACCATAATAGACAATGCAGGTGAAGTGTCTTGCCCAAGGACACGACAACACTGAAAGTCAGAGTTTGACTTGAACGGCTTGAACCGTCAATCCTTCAATTTCAGGGCAAACTCCTACATCCAATGCCACTGTTGCCCCGGTTAAAAAATAGGGTAAAAAAAATAAAAAGATACAAAGGAAGAATAAACCAGACAAAAATATAACATGCACATAAAATAAATAATTAAAGAAATAAGTAATAAATAAAGTTGAAGATTATAACGGACAATAAATAAATAAAGTAATTATTACAGAGGCGAAAAAACAAAGCAAATTAAAAGAGATATATACATTTATGTCTCACTGTATAATTTAATTTCTAGCTACATTTATTTGTTTATTGTATTTTGGGGCGGGGGGGGGGGGGGGGGGGCAATGGTATGCTCATTTATTTTTGTAGCATTTATTTATTTCTGTATTTATTTTTAATTATGGCAGGATTGGTCCTCCATAGAATTGACTAGGAAGAATCTTATTTTAGAGAACAAATGGAATAGAGATGACAGCGCTTCTAATAAATGTCAAAACGGCCTGCCATACATCGTTTCCTTCTTTCTCCCTCCACCACTTCTTCTGCTATGCTTCAACCATGCTACAATGCCACATGGAGCAACTTTATGTTTAATTTTTTTAATGTTCAGTACCAAAGGATCACTTCTGAAAGGTGTGAATAATCACTGCTTATGCTTTTTTATTCAGGAACTTGCTCAGTTTTCTATTTGTGATTCATCCATCCAGGTTTTCTTTTCAGGTTTACTTAACAACAGTTTGCTGATCACATCAAACCATATGCCTTAATCTCTAGACATTTTCTGTTTGAGCATCTGGACTCAATATGATTTAATTGTTTTATCAAGTCAGAATAATAATGAAAACCTGATGAAAATTGTAGCGTTTGATCAGGGGCGGATTTAGGAAATTTGGGGCCCTAGGCAAAGACACTCAGGGGGCCCCCTGAGAAGAAAACCCATAAAACAGACCCATTCTACAGATAGAGAAATGTTAATAGAATAGACATCCATTATCTGTTCTAGGTTTTGTCCCTCTCTTCTTGTCCCTTTTCCCTCTCTATTTATCAGCGTTCTGATGGCATTTTAGCCAAAGGATTTTTATCAAAAACATAATTAATGTGCACAAATAAGGATTAGTTGTATTAACTATACATGTAAACAGAGTTTTATGGGGCCCCCAGGAACTTGGAGCCCTAGGCAACTGCCTAGTATTGCCTAATGGTAAATCCCCCCCTGCGTTTGATCAAGTATGACCCTGTATTGGAGAGGTCTCCTTTTATTTTTTTGAGCAAAAAGTGAAATACAGAAGCTGGTTCAGGAGTTTGTTAAGCTGTCAAATCTAACTGGAGGAACTGAGAGAGCCAGATTTAAGGAACATAATACAGACTGATCCTGAAAGACAGGCTTTACAACGAACAAACTAAAACTAATTTTAAAAAGAAACAAATTTTAAAGTTTTGAATAAGCATTTCCGTTTCTCACATATAAAGTCTTAAATGGCCAAGCTCCATCTTACTTCAGAGATATGATTGTTCCTTATTTCCCTAACAAAGCACTTTGCTCTCAATCTGCAGGTTTACTAGTGGTTCCTAGAATTTCTAAAAGTAGAATGGGAGGCAGATCTTTAGTTATCAGGCTCCTCTCCTGTGGAACCAACTACCAGTTTTAGTCCGTGATGCAGACATCCTGTCTGCTTTCAAGGCTAGGCTTAAAACTTTCCTTTTTGATAAAGCTTATAGTTAAGAGTGGCTCAGGTTATCCTGAGCTATTTCTATAGTTATGCTGCTATAGGCTTAGTCTTCTAGAGGACTCAGGGACCCCATTTCATCATTCTATCTCTATTCTCCCACTCTGCAGAATCTTTTAGTTCAATCTCTAACGTTATGCTCTCTCTGCTTTTTCTCATAGTAGCTTTGCCTCGTCTGTTCCTTTTTGGCTGTGACGCCATCCTGGAGAGAAATATCAGCTGTGCTGCTGCCATCAGCACCTTTGTTTATGGATGTCTTATGGATGTCTTATGGAATGGATGTCTTATGGAATCTGCCTGTTTTTCAGTGTAGTCCTGTATCTCTGGCTGTGACTGTCAGGATTTGTTTGTGGATTGTTGACCCAAAGCAGAGGCAGGAAGGCAGAGGTGAATTGTAAGTAGATTTAAAGGAATAGTACACCCAAAACATGATTAGCCTTCATTTTCTACTCACCCCCATGCTGAACAAAACTCTGGAGTACTTTTTTGATATCTCAAATGCATCTGGAGATCTGGGAGGCTTCTTGCTGTCTGCTGACATTCAAATAATGGAGGTCTATGGCGCCCGAGACAGAAAGGTCCACAAAAGTCCACAAAAACTTGTCAATATTCCTCCATACTGCTCGTCCAATGTAATCCAAGTGTCCTGAGTGGGTAGCATCCAGAATTTACTCGAAACGAAGTCATTTAGAACGTTTTAGAGCCTAAACAGTAGTGTATAGGATTTCCTAATAGCGCCCCCATGCGCGCTCACGATTCTACGGAAGCCGGCAGACCAAACCAGCGCATTCAGCTCGGCAAAGAACTCATGCTCTTCCTCAACACTGAAGTCCTCAGACATTCTTCTTTCGTTGTTTCTTTCTTTGCACAGGTAAACAGCACATTTCTTCTTCTACGCTTGCATTATCGGCAGACCAGACGCTGAATGCGCACCTTCTTCCGGTTTGGTCTGCCGGCTTCCGTAGAATCGTGAGCGCGCATGGGGGCGCTATTAGGAAATCCTATACACTACTGTTTATGCTCTAAAAACATTCTAAATGACTTCGTTTCGAGTAAATTCTGGATGCTACCCACTCAGGACACTTGGAATACATTGGACGAGCAGTATGGAGGAATATTGACACGTTTTTGTGGACTTTTGTGGACCTTTCTGTCTCGGGCGCCATAGACCTCCATTATTTGAATGTCAGCAGACAGCAAGCAGCCTCCCAGATCTCCAGATGCCTTTGAGATATCAAAAAAGTACTCCAGAGTGTTGTTCAGCATGGAGGTGAGTAGAAAATGAAGGCTAATCATGTTTTGGGTGTACTATGAGTAGCTGAAAAACAAAGCACACAGGCAGATATCATAGGGCACCATCTGCTGGACACAGCACAAAATAACTGAATAAAAAACAGCAATTGAATGTATGTTAGTGAGATTTTGGTGAGTTTTGCTTTTGATTTCACAGCTTTATGCTGTAAGGTTATCCGCAGTATTTTGATTTTGCACTCCACCATTTGGAAACATCCCTAGGCTATTTTGTTGTATTTTGTTTCTAAACGTAGGTTATGTATAAACAAATGCCTACACTACCGCTTCTTCTTTCAGTTATGACTTTAACCAAACCATGATGCCAGATGCAGCTAATCTCTGTTTACTTTTCCTGATTTTCAAGTTTGGAGAATCTCCTCTGAAAGGTGAGAAACATATTTATGCTTTTTTTAATGCAGTAACTGTCATGTTCCCCACCCCACTATAGCAGACTATGCATCACTATAGTCTACTATAGTGATGCATCCATCCTTTCATTATTATAATTTCTCCAGTCTTGGCAACAATTAATAAAATCTGAAAATTGAATTATCAACAAATTAATATGATACCTTGAGGTGTGAATTTCCATCAGAAGCCTTGTTAACCATTAAGATAGCTGTACTGTTTGAAATAAAGCTGGCATAGTGCCATCAATGCTGTCAGCTTTATGGGGGGAGTGTAGATTAAAATGTAACAGAAGTACATTTCTAAAACATCTCTAACATTTATTTTATTGCAGCTACTTTTTACATAGGAATATCAGCTAGTTTTAGCTCTACAAGCTTTGTTGTTCTGTCGATATTATCTATCTGTTGAATTTACCACATACAAGAAAAAAAGGAGAAGAAGACTACTGCAAAACTGAATCTACTTCTCCTTTCACATTTTGCAAAAAATATTAAACAGGAAGTTCTGTTTGTAACATGACAATCTATGTGAAGGGCAAAGAGTGTGAATACAAAAGTAAAACAAAAACGTCTTGGTTACACTGAATAAATAACATTAAGCTGAAAAAATGTTCAGGGAAGTGGTCCATTACTGCAGAGTATTGTACAGTGAATTCAGTTTGTGCAAGAAGGTTCTGGGTTCAATTCCTGGTCCAAGGTCTTTCTGCATGGAGTTTGCATATAAGTGCTGTATAAATTACGCAAGCTTGGCGGTTTCTCAAACGTTGTGAAATTCCTCTCAGAGAACACAGAGAGGAAATGAAAATGCTACATTACATAGAGTAAACCAGATATATTTTCATTGTTTCCTGCAGGTGCAGCAGCTGTGGTCCAAACCCAGCAGACTGTAACAGCAGCAGTGGGTGAAGATGCTCCTCTCAGCTGTCAGCTCCTGGAAACTAAAGATGTCCAGCAGGTCACCTGGCAGAAGGTCTTTGGGAGCAAAGAGAGGAATATCTGCTCCTACAGCGAGTATTTTGGTCAAACAGTGAATCCTGACTTTAAAGATAAAGTCCAGTTTACAGAAGCTGGACTGAAGAATTCCTCCATAGTTATCAGGAAGGTTACAGAGCAGGATGAAGGATGTTATCTCTGCTTGTTTAGCATTTACCCTGATGGAGCTCTGATAGGGAGAACCTGCCTGAATGTTTATGGTAAGAACCAGACTGTATTCTAGGATTAACTTCTATAACTAGATGTTGATCATGATGTTTGTTCTCCTCCCAGAGCTGCATGAACCCATCCTTGATGTCAGCATCAATTAAAAGAGATATATACATTTTACGTCTCACTGTATAATTTAATTTAAACATTTATTTGTTTATTGTATTTTTTTTGGGGGGGGGGGCAATGGTATGCTCATTTATTTTTGGAGCGTTTATTTATTTCTGTATTTATTTTTAATTATGGCAGGATTGGTCCTCCATAGTTTTGACTAGGAAGAATCTTATTTTATAGAACAAATGGAACAAAAGAGAGGACAGCGCTTCTAATAAATGTCAAATTGGCCTGCCATACCCGTTTCCTGCATTCTCTTTACGCCTCTTCTTTTGGCAGAACCAGTATGATCCAAATGGGTAGGTTCACTTTAAGACAGTTAATTTAATACAAGGTTGCACGGAAGGCACACAGGCCCGCTACAGATGACAGAATCGGTACAATAATTTTGTTGCACAAATCTATTATTCTAATCAAGACAATTTAAAACCACACAAACATTAAAATAACATTATTATGTATTTTAAGATATCTGGAATTTAATTACCGTATGAATGTTCAGACGAAACCGAATATATGTTAAAACGGCTTACCATACTCAGCGTCCTTGGAAGACGCAGGACTCGAACAGAGCCCGTCACGCCTTCATTTCGGCTGGAATCCGTTCACGTGACGTCACACCAAAATAGGATCCACAAGTGTCTGGGTTCCAGCGCAGCAGTAAACATCAGGAAGGGGAGAAAAAAATTACAGGAGGGTGATAAATGAACCGCAAAATGCGCCCCGCTGTTATAATCAGCTGTTTTCTAATGAACACCATCATTCAGACAGGTGAGAGATGATTTGTTTTTCTTTATTAACTCTTCCTATTCCTTCCTCTATTTTTCAACATAAACATCTAGAAACAGCCGGTGGTTTCGGTTTGTTATTTATTTTTTTTTTCGGATTTTTATTTTTTTAAGCATTATGGGACCCCTGTTTTATTGGTACATTAATGTAGTGAAACTTGTGTACCAAAATTGAAACAATATTATCACTCCTTTTATAAATGACCTTTAGTCATAATGTAGAACAAGCTTTCTGTTTAGAGCAGCTTCCTTCCTGGTATTTTGAAGGTCTGATCTAACTGGATCAGACAAGTTTGGTCACTGAAATTATAGCCGATGGTCACTAAAAATAATTTGTTACCCTGAAGCCACTTTTTAAATAACAGCAGGCAACAAATAAAGTCTTTATCTTGGAAGACTCAATCTTTATCCAGGCTTTCCAGATGATGTGTAGAAATTTTTGCCTGAATATTTCCTATTATTTGTCATGACTATGCCTTATTTAAGATTTTAATGAATTAATAATTTATTTTCTGTGTACGTAATGGATGTTTATAATGATTTTACTGCACATTTGTTCTGTTTTAATGATGTAAAGCACTTTGAATTCCCTTGCCACTGAAGTGTGCTCTGCATTTCGATTTGCTTTAGTGTAACCTTTCTAAGGTTTAGGGCTACAGTACTTCATAGTTGCTAAGTCGGCATTCAAACTTCACTCATAAACAGATTTTTTATTCTTTTCTTTTTTTGCCCTTTTTAAATCTTTATAAATTACAAAAAAAGAGAAACAGAATAAAATTTAATTTCAAAGTAAGTAACTTTTTTCAGAAGATGTTGAGGGTCCCCCATGTGGTCCTGGAGGGCTCCTTGGTGCCTGTTGGCACTGCATTGGTGACCCCTACTGTAAAGTAATAGGCCTAATTGAAGTTATTTACAGTCTGTTATTTAGCAAAACCCAAACATAACATGACTGCTACATCTCTTTTGGGATGCATTTCTCAGAGTTGGACATTTCTTCCACCAAATCTACAGATGGTCAGAACACCAAATCACTTTAGTTTTTTCAGACCTAAAGGACAGGCATCACAAATGTAGGAAGTTGTTTGTTCCAGGATGTTTTTTGCAAACTGTAATCTGGCTTTTCTCTCTGACTAACCTTCGACCCCAATTCTTTGCAGAACATGCTTCTATGAGAAGCTGAGAAGAGAGTTTGGTACCTAGTCTTTTACGTAATTGCAAAAAATCAACATTATGATGGCCATCACTGAAAGAACCTATAAATAAAAAATCTAAATCTATGGTGAGTTATGTTGAGCTGTTATTAGATTCAATAGAGCTGTAATAAAAAAAAATCTGATGTAAGCAGTTTCTTCTGTGTCACATGCTTGTCAGGAGGCCAAGCAGTCTTGGAGGTGGGACCCAAACTGGTTGCAAGAAGAACATGCTTTGTAGAGTTTTCAGCAGACAGAACTTTCATTTCTTGTTGTGCAGGACATCAACCAAACCACACCAACCAAGAAAAATGGCAGACATGTTTCTTAAGTAGAGGAGGAACTAAATTGGAAGAAACCAATTTTAAAAGGCTGTTCAGCTTCACAATAAGAAGAAAAGGACATTTTGGTTTAAACAAACAACTACTTAAGAAATACTTTTACCAATAAATACAGAAACAAATATTTTAATTCAATCCAAACAAATACTCAAACTCAATACAGAAAACACCATACATCAGATCAACCTCCCCCCTCTTCAATTATCCCATGGTACAGTCCTGTACACACCTGCTTGGAGAGTGAAACAGCAGAGGTGAGTATTTCAAAATATTTTAAATCTTAAGCCATGAATGTCCCTTTTATAAATAAACAAAAACAAAATATTGTAGAGTGAAATCAATTTACCTTTTTACAAAAATAAAAACAAGATATGGCCAACCAAAGAACCACAACCCAAACAAATCCACTTCACCCAAAACAACAAAAATAAACCAATGTAGAAAACCAGATCCTGTGTTTAGCTGCTACTTTGGCCAATATACAAGTAACAATGGCTCATTGTTACATTCGGTCTAAGCTGTAAAATTTTGCTCGACCAAATTCGTCTTCCGCCTCCTGATGCAGATGAAGTTTGGTCAACAAGATAAATCAGAACAAAGCAGCTGATTTTTTATAGGAGTTAAATGATTAAGTTGCATTTTTTCTGCCAGTATAACATACAATGTATTTCAGCACATGACTTATACACACATGAGTAATACAACAAACACTACAAAAATGACAGCATCATCCGCTTGATAATAAATTAGTACATTGACATTTCACAGTGAATTACTTTCCATTTACTCTATTTTCTATTTTCTTACACTAGACACAATGTCAAAGGCTAACTCAGTCAATGTCAGACTAATGTTATGCTACATAATATACTATGGGATACATCGGCATATATATGGATTTTCTTGGTCAGTACATCCACTGACTGTGAAATTACCTGTGGAACGTCTTCCCACAGCCGGCAAACTGCTTGTTTTTGCAGCCAAATGCTACACACTTAGGCATTTTTGCTGTGTGTCTCCATGGGAGTGGGGAGTACCCGCATGGTAGACGGTGGCTTCACTTTTTTCGGGCTATCAGCAACTCAGTAGAGATGAGTGGCGCAGGCTGACACGGACTTATAACTAAATCCCGGCTGATGGCGGCTCCTCCATCACAGTGATATATTGCTCTGTGAACACATTCCCAACTGGCTGTGTAAGGACAACAAACTAAAGTATGAATCAAGTTTAAAGCATGGTATGTAAACTTTGCACGTATCATGAAATACATTCATCACAACTTCTGTTCTTAGTTATTAACAAAAAAAGTCAAAGTTAAACACGCTTCAGGTAAAATCTCTTGTCTAAACCAGGTACAAAAAAGGAATGATAAATGGTTAAAAAAGCATAATCAATAAAATCACAGTTCAACATTGATGTCATATCTTGAAGAATATGGAATGAGGTCAAATTAGCTTTTAATTCATTTAGAGCAATTAATTTAAACCAATTTATAATGCAAATGCAAGAAGCAAATAAAACATTATTTGCTAAAATAACATTTTATATTATTTGCTTAGTCAAAAATTATGTAATTTTATTTGAGTTATATTTAGCCTTCTGTAATTGAGCCAGTGACTAGCAGAGATTATGGGACTCTTCTTAGGGGACTCTTGGTCATATTTTGTTAATAAAATGTGTTGAGCATGAGAAAAAGAGCAAACTTTAATCTTATATTAGTTTTTAAAACCCTTATGAATTAAATTTTGATTTAGCTTTTTGAACAACTGCTGAAAGCAGTTCTGCATGGGAACAAAGCTTGTTGTCGAAACATTTAAATAACAAGCTTTATTGAAAACTCTAAGTTAGTTAACCATGAAATCATTGAAACTCTTGAGTTTTCCATTTCATGAAAAGATATTACTCAACCTCTCTCTGTTACCGTAGCAACATTCTCCTTAGAGCTGTGGTTCTCAGAAACCTCTTTTGCATGTTTTAGATATCTCTCTGTTCTCAAATAACTGATTCAATTAGGGCTCCTCATCTTCAACCGAGTGCTGTAGAACCATGTTAATCATCCATTATTTTCTGGTGTGATGCAACTAGTATTTACTGTGTAATGGAAAAATGAGAAGAGACCCCATGAGATGATGCACAGGTCCTACTTGTTCAAAAACAATATTTTTATACTTCATCTTCATCTGCTGAAAGGTATGCTTCTCCGCTGTGGGAATGAATCTAACTAGCATACACTGATACACTACCATTCACGCAGTATACTAGTTTTTCCCTGTCATGTTGTATTTGTTAAAACAGACTGTAGGCAGACATCGAAGAAATTCTTCCCATCTAAAATAAATAATCTGAATGTCTGTAAATTAATTTTAGATCTCCATATTCCTCTTGTGTGTCTGTACTATAAGTTATGTGTAATCTGATTTGCAAATGTGTAAGAAATCCACAAATACTCAGATTTACAATGTGTGTTTCTTTACAGATTTACAAATGTATTGATCAGTCTGTAAACACACAGAGACACTTAAGTCTGAAGTCTTTTTTCCCCTCAACACCCAGAAATACAGACCAATCATTGGTTTAAGTCAAGCGGTTTCTCGGTTGGCTTTCTATACACACATGATTTTTTACAAGGCAAGGCAAATTTATTTTTATAGCACAATTCAGTACAAAGACAATGCAAAGTTTTTTACATGATTAAAATATAGGAAAATAAAACAGAATCAAAGCAAGTAGAAAAAAAATTAAAATAGAAAAAAAAAATAATAATAAAATAAAAAATAAAACTTCTGCTATGGGATATCTGCAAATGCTTAGAGAGGATTTGTTTGTGTAAAATCTGGATTTGTTGACCTGAGCGCAGGCTCACTTGCTCACAGGCTTACTGTCTGTGTCTTCCTTCCTTACTTTTTTTCCTGCTACGAGAGTTCACGTGTTAAGGAAAGGTGGCTATGTGGTTGTAGGTGCAGCAAGTTGTGCTAAACTCCCACAGCCAGAAGACACAGCCGGATTCACAAATCTCCTCACACATTTTCAAATCCCTCTGCACACAGACACAAATCAAGATAGAGACACACAACTCCCTGCACAAATTTGCAAATTATATTGCAACAATAATGCCCTCATAACACCTTGACACTTCTGGATGCTCAATGCTCAGCTGTTCTTGCTAAGTTCTGGCGTTACAAGCTAGAGAGCAGATTCTTTGCATTGAAAAGTTGGGGGAAAAAAGTAGTTATAACACATTTTTAGTGAGAAAGATTGCCTCAAAGCAATCTGAGCAGTCAATTAATCAGGATTATGATCCTACTGAAATATTCTCTTCTCTGAAGCCTGCAAGGTTGTCTGGAATTTCCCGTTGTCATTAGCAGCTAAAAGTAAATCTTTTAGCTGCTAATGATGCCTCTTGATGCTGCTTGACTGCATGGGAGAATGAGAGTATCCTTTGTAATTTAAGCCAGTGTTCTCAAGCATAAACACATCATAATTTCAGTGAATTAATCACATCATTGTCAAAGTGGAGGAATGGTGGCCCATCCATTTTAACTAAAGCTTTGGTTTCCAGACTTGTTCAGGCAGATAGGTTATCAATAGGTTTGATCGACAGTATCTTGCTGCCATTATGATGTAAAATCATCAGAAGTGCAGTAGTTTACTTCATTTTAGCAAATATTTCTATTCCTGTTTAATAGTGTGGAATCAGTGGTGTGCTTTAGAGTCCTGCACGGGTCGAGTTTTACGAACCCGCACCCGCCCGAACCCGTTAGGATGACAACCGAACCCGACCCGTCACCCGCGGATATCTTCAATTCAAATCCAAACCCGACCCGACCCGTTGATATTTAACCCGCAACCCGACCCGTTAACACATCAAGTAATAGGCTATAGTACGCTGTGCTGCAGAACAGCGCCATTAACACTGACGTGTATGCACTGACTGTGGCCTTTTTGGAGGGAAGCCCACACTGCCGGCAGGGCTTTAAGCTACAACAAGGGTGACACCAGTGCCTGATTAATATAACATTTCTGATGTCCATAACAACACACACGAATAAAAAAAAAAAATCACCAACTACCCGCCTGCACTAAAAAAATATCCGCCCGACCCCGCGTACCCGTTTATTTTTATTTATGTATTTTTCACCCGTAAAAGAGCATTTTAGCAGGTGACCCGTCGGGGACCCGCGGGTACCCGACCCGTTGCAGGACTCTAGTGTGCTTCATAACCTTTATTGTCAGATTTTAATATGTTCTAGAAGCTGCTTTAAGACCAAATCAGTGTTATTTGGTCTGATATGTTATTTTCAGGGCTGCTCAGTGGCACAGCACTGCTGCCTTGCAGCAAGAAGGTTCTGGGTATGATTCCTGGCCTGGGGTCTTTCTGCATGGAGTTTGCATGTTCTCCCTGAGCATGTGTGGGTTCTCTCCAGGTACTCCGGTTTCCTCCCAAAGTCCAAAAACATGACTGTTAGGTTAATTGGCTTCTATAAATTCTCCTTATTTGTGTGTGTGTGAGTGGTTGTTTGCCCTGCAATGGACTGGCGACCTGTCCAGGGTCTACCCTGCCTCTTGCCCTTTGATAGCTGGAGAAAGGTGCCAGCCCCCCTCGCGAAAGCGTGTTAGAAGATCGATGGATGGATGTTATTTTAACTATATTCATCGGCAACATTCAATATGGATTCTATATAAAGCTGATGGACTGATCACATCTCAAGGCCTTATTAGAGGCTCAGGGGAGGATTTAAGTTGTGAAAGGGATGTTTTTTTATACTGTTAGTGTAAATTATGCCAAGCTATAGGTATGGGTATTACTAAACTGTTATGAAATTCTTAGTAAACAGAGAGGAAATGAAAGTACTCCGATAGAATGCTAGATAATATAAATAAAGTTACATTGATCTATTTCTTTGTTTTTTTGCAGGTGCAGCAGCTGTAGTCAAAACCCAGCAGACTGTATCAACAGCAGTGGGTGAAGATGCTCCTCTCAGCTGTCAGCTCCTGGGAACCAAAGGTGTCCAGCAGGTCACCTGGCAGAAGGACTTTGGGAACAAAGAGAGGAATATCTGCTCCTACAGCGAGTATTTTGGTCAAACAGTGAATCCTGACTTTAAAGATAAAGTCCAGTTTACAGAAGCTGGACTGAAGAATTCCTCCATAGTTATCAGGAATGTTACAGAGCAGGATGAAGGATATTATTTCTGCTTGTTCAACATCTACCCTGATGTAGCTCTGATAGGGAGAACCTGCCTGAATGTTTATGGTAAAAACCAGACTGTATTCCAGGATTTACTTCTATAACTAGATGTTGATCATTATGTTTATTTTCTTCCCAGAGCTGCATGAACCCATCCTTGATGTCAGCAGATCAAAGTCTCCTGCAGAGTCAGTTGTGTCCTGTTCAGCCACAGGTCGACCTGCTCCCACTGTAACACTGACTGTTCTACAGCAGAACCTCAGCTTCTCCCACTACAACAGCAGCAGTGTGACCCACAGCAACGGTACAGTCACCGTCACCACCACAGCTCTGCTGTCAGCTTCCAGCAGCACACAGGTTGGATGTTCAGTGTCAGTGCTCTCTGCTGCTCCCAGAGAGAAGCTGATCACCGTTCCTGGAGTTAAAGGAACATCTGATGATGGTGAGGAACTCTTAGAGATACAGAGATTGTTTATGTCTATCTTTATGACCATACAGCGACACAGTTTAATGAATTTTATTGAGTTTTAGACCAATACAATCAGATAATGAATGGAAAGAGAAGTACAAATCTAACCTAATAAAATCTCATTAAAATCTAGGGCTGTCCTGATACAGCTTAGTTATTTGTGATAAGATACCAATATGGAGCTTTGAGTATTGACCAATACTGATATTGACCTGATAGAATATAAGCATGAATCATAGATGCTTTCTATACTTATTACATACTGTAAAATGTTAGCAAAGGTTTAATAAAGCGATATTATGACAAACTTTAAACAGAAGCAGATTGGTTTCTATCAGCATAAAAATATCATAGATTTTAGATGCAGGTTGATAAAATAGAAGATTAGTTTTTTGGACAATATCAGATCAATATCTGAAATTTATATCCCATCGTAACACCACTACTAAAACCTGCTGTTTGTGGGTGTATCAGGGGAAAATGTGGAAAACTTACAACTTGAATGGTTCAGACTTTTACTTATAGGCTCTGTGAATTAATTGCAGACCTGTTTCTTATTTTCTGTTTATTTTTTATTAGTTTTGGAAAAACAATCAGAATCATCACTTAGAGATTCCAGTAAGTTATGTTCAGATTCTCAGATTGTTTAGTTTTTTCTCAGTTTGTTCTATTGTTGAGGAAAAAAATAATCTTCTTTCTCCAGGATGGCCTTTAATTCTTCCATTGCTAATGATGGTTATCATTGGTATTTTTCTTCTTAGTTTTCAACAAAGGTACGTCTATGAATTATTGATTTTTACCTTAATAAAATCACAGTAACTTCTGTTGCTAATTGTTTTATATAATTGTTCTTCATTATTTTATTTTTTTTTTTTTTTCAAATCTTTGCTTGTGTGGTATATACTGTAAATCCTATCTTTTACTTCTTTTAAAGCTTCTTAGTTTCTTCTTTTTTCCATTTTCCTTTAATGCCAGACAGCAAAGCAGTGTTGGAAAGAAGCTCAGGAAATGAACATCTGAAAAACAGACAAAACAGCAAGTCGTGACCATGAAAAACAGAAACAACTTCATTTTAACTGTAGTTTAACAGTAACTGAGCAACACGTGGTCAAACTGATTAGGCAGCTAAACCTAAACTAGACTGGATAAAAGCTGGAGACAGAACTGATAATGTAGACATGCCGTTAGACAATCCTCAATCGCCTCCTGAGTATCTGCACGTACGTGCCTGATTGTTTAAATGTTTCTAATTTTAAGAAAACTGTTGCTTCTTTCAGGGTTTACACATTTTAATTTCAGTCAGGTTTTTTCAAGTTTTGTATTAAAAACAAGTTTTGATAGCCATTAACTTTGAAAAAGAAAACCATACTGCCCAATGTTGGAGGAAGAGAGATAACCACCTGTTAAATGTTTTTTTTTTATTGTATTTCCAAATATTTTGGTGATTAGCCTTTTTAGTATTTAATCAGTTGAGATAACAACAACAATAATAATAATGATAATCACCATCATCATAATAATCATAATGTGACATGAGTGTCATGATGACATTATATGTGTTTGGAAGGGAATTGAATTATATTATGTCCCTGTTTTACTGTAGTTAGTGTAAGATTGATAGAAAAGAAGAGGAAGAAGATTAAATGAGAGCAGAGGAAAAAAGGGACACTGATAGAAAGAACAGTTGGAGAGAAGGGGAAATCTACTTAGAAGATTTAAATAGAGAGCAGGCAGAATATATGGATAGATATATTTTCTTTTTTTTTATAATCTCTGCTGATCTGGTATCTACTGTATATTTCCTAAACATTATAAATCATATTTATTTCATTTTATTTCTCTTTAAGGCGAGACAACTCTGCAGCGTTGGAAAAAAACACACTAAGACTCTGCTGATGTGGAAGTGAACCAGCTCTGCTGTACTGACCAGCTGTCATTTTGAACCACAAAGCTTCAAGGACAAGAAGCAAACAGGAAGTATGCAGTTTTATGAAGTGACTGATTTTTATCAAAAATGTGATTTAATCCAAATGTCCAACTATGGTTGTTGCCCCAAGTATGATTGTAAACATGAAGCACTTTAAGTCTCAGACACTGACTGATTTGAGAAAAATGAAGGAAAACAGCTAAAAGTAAAGGATGACCAGAGAGCATTATATGCATCTTTATGTGGAGAAAAAGGTTACCCCAATCATACCCTATTTAAATATGTTTCCAAGGTTGAACCCATTAATTATATAATTTAGTGGTTTCAGTTTTAATTAATTTATATATCAAATTTGTGTTTTTCAGCGTTTTATAAATAATCAACTTTAAATTCAAGCACTTTTTCTACAGTTCTTTTTCTTTGTTTCATGTCGTTCCTGTAATGTTACTAATGAGCAGAAAAACTATAGATTCAGGGAAAATGAAGGAAAACTGGTTCCACTGATACAGTTGCTGCTGCTGTTGTTTTTGTTGTATGAAGGTTTTAATGTTTATTTCTGCTTGTAGATGTTAGTAACAATAGTCAAAGTAAACTGTTACTGTAGGTCTCTAGCTTTTCTTTTGAAAACTTTTCTGCAGGGCGCACTGTTTTCCAAGTGTTATACATTATAGTATTATTGATTAAAAAACCTGAAAGTATTTTTATTTTAAGTCTGTGCTTACATGAACTACATAATGTATTATTCTGTATCCAGTGTCTGAAAGCTTCCATTAGAATGTTATCATGTAAATTCTACCAATAAATATAGACTTTAATAAAAACTGTTTTCATTATGTTTAATCATTTCTAGTACGTATTTGTCTTTTTTTACATTGTTATCTCAGTTGCATTTTAGTGCATCTTAATGCAGAAAAATAAATATATAAATATCTCAAAGAAATGTCATTGAATTAAATATAATTATTACAGTCAGACCTGTGTGGTTCAACTAGTCTCAGCTTAAAGTTTTACATACATCTGCAATAAAATTATTATAATTTTTTTAAGACAACAACCAGCAAAATGTTAGTGTTAATTTCTGATTTAACATTGAAATTATGCATTGAATAGTTTAGAGATTATTGCTAGAAATTAATCAGCAGCAGGAAAACAAGAAAAGCAATACTTGCCATATATACTTGATGCACAGGGGGATATTTTCTAACTATTTCAGTTGTTCCTTTAACTCAGTTTATACATTTAGGTTCTTTTTAGTTTTAACTTCATATAAAATGATAATGATTATTTGCTGGGGAGCTCATCCAGTATGTGTTTAAATCTAACAGAAAGGCATGAAAACAAGTTATTTGGGCCAATCAGGCTTAGTGAAATGTTACGTTGTCATCCATTCAAATTAATGTGCACGTTTTTGAGGAACAAAAGCATTTTTTTTTTTTTTTTTTTTTTTTTTTTTTGCATTTTTAACAAATATGTAGTATTTATTCCAGGGGATGTCAAAGAAAAGCCAGTGAAGTTAAAACTATAAATTTGTACCACCATAAGATTATCCCTGGATGTTCAACACCTGGAACCTTGGAGCAGATCAGCTACAGCAGCAGAGGATCCCACAGATTAACATTCCTGTCAGCTACTGAGAGCAAGAACCTCAGACTGTAGAACAACAGATGCTGTTTAATGAGGTGCTGCTAACAAATCAGCTGTGGGATGCTGTAATGTCAATATTTATCACAATCTCTACACCTAGTTCACACGGTTGTAATTAAAAAATAAGAGGTTCTAACCTGATAGTATTAAACTGCAGGGTGGCAACCGTAGCTCTCATCCTTTATTTCAGTAAAACAGGAAAAGTTCTGAAATGTACAAAAATAAAAATAAAAATTTTCTTTTGCCTTCAATAATAAAGGACATTTATTTCATAACTTTTGATAAATAAAAACACAAAGTTTTAGGTACAAAACATGTCAGCCAAATAAGCACAGCCCATATTCCATGTTTTGGAGACAGCTGGATTAATGGTTTCATTTATCACAGCAAGTCTTCCAGTCCCTAAAGCAGTAAAATAGCCCCAGACCATCACACTACCACCACCATGTTTTACTGTTGGTGTGATGTTCTTTTTCTTAAATGCAGTGTTTCTTTTACACCTTCCCAAAATAAATTCTTGTCTTGTTAGTCTACAGAATATTTTCTGTAGATTTTCTGGGGATCTTTAAGGTGTTCTGAAAAAAGTTCCTTTTGATCAGTAGTGGTTTTATTCATTGAACGCTGCCATGCAGGCTTTTTTTTTTTTTATTACAAGTATATGTTTAACAACCGTTTTCAATGGAATCAGAACATTTAGACTCAGTGAAACAACGAGAGATTTTTCTAAGGAACGTGTTGAAACGAACAAGGAGCTGTTTGCTTTCAGAGGAAGGAGTAGACACTGCTGTCAGCCACCTGCTTTCAAGCAAACGCTCCTGTTTTATTTTTGTTTTTTATCAGTATCACTGGCGATATTCTGCTATAACATGTGAAGGGGGGGAAAAACAACAGAAAAGCTCATCTTTCATAAACAGAAAACCTTACTGATTTCACGTTCAGTACGTTGGAATTGAGGCGGAGTGAGCTCGGTCAGCTCTTCCTACTGCTACGAGGAGAGGTGTCGTGCCGTGCCAAGAGGTGTCTTGGCACGGCACCTCTCCTGAGCGAGAAAGCGGTTTAACGTAACGTTTTGCATTTATATCAACAAAAAAGTTTTAAGTGTAAGAAAACGTCAAGGCATAAAACAAATCCATCTTTTTGTCAGTGGAGTAGAGAAACAAATGATGTCACAAGTTTTTTGTTTGTTTGTTTGTTTGTTTCTTTGTTTTTTATGAACAAAGTAGCAAAACATGGTCCGTGTAAAAAGCGCCGGAAGGAAAAATGTGGTTAGACAAACCGTTCAGAGAAAAACAAAGCATGGAGACATAGTAAAATAGTAAACTCTACAATCAACCCTGCATGTTTTATATATGTCCTGTACTTTGATTTCTAATATAAATGATTAACTTTTATACACTGCAAG